CAAAGAAATTCGTTTTGTTCCGCAAAGGGTTGCTTTAATTAGGAAGAGAAGAGTGGCCTTTAAAAGCAGACAAGTAGAGCTGTTACCCAGCTCACTATAGCGCTATCATGGGGCAGACGTTGAAAAAATTATTTCTCTGTTAGAGAAAACTCGACTTTTTCGGAATCAACACTCGCCCATCTGCTTAAAAACAACCCAAGCTTGTTGAATCTAACAATGGCACAAAATTTTTTATTTTCTACTTTCTTAAAAGCTTGACGTTCTAAATACCAATAGAAGTGGTATTATGGTCAAAGAATGGTTGAGGGAAGGTTTCCTTTTTTTAATTACGTAGAAAAAAACAACTTTCACATTGAATTTATTAAGCAACGCCCTCTTTTCAGTCTTCAATTAACCTAAACATAAGTATGCAAATTCTCCATCGCCTGAGGTGCTAACAACAAGAATTTGTCGAACAATCAGAGCAGCTTCAGTTGGTGATCATTTCCTTTATTCTCCTGTCCTTTTTGTTTGATTTAGAAATTAGATGGAAGTTACTTCTGGGGGTCGAAGGGGTAATTCTGCCTCTTTTTTTCGTTTGGAGCCCGTCGCAAACTTCATTACTATTGACAAAGGATCTGAAAGTTTTAAAGCTCTGTAAGTGTCACGCAAAGGGATCGACCATTTACTTGTTCCCAGCCGAGTTTCTTAAGTCTCTTCACAATCTCTCTAAGAATGAAAACCCGAAATTAATTCTGTCTTTGATGTCAATTAAACCATACATGACTCTTAAATCCATTAAACCCTCATTTTAATTGCAGCCCATTTTGCTTCCTTTAACAGTTTCATTACCGATAGCTTGAGCGTAACAAAATGGATATGATATGAATGAATACATAAAAATCTGGGATCCTCCTTCAGTGAGAGCGTCATAAACCTCGTCATCTCAGACGAGTTTGGGTTTGCAAGATCATTCAGCTCCACTGAAACAGTCTCAAAAAAAAATATGCAGTCGTTAAAAGGGCTATTCTAAAAATAACATAAACAATTTTTTGGTTTACAAGTTTGGATGATGCTATAACCCAAGTCTCAACGCGTGTATCATAAATCATTCCTCTTAAAACCAGAACTATTTTCTTTTAAAAGAGATTTTGATTTTAATGCTGACTTTAATGCGAATACGGATCTTAAACCTCTTGATCCTTTGGTTGGAAAGATCCATCTTCTTGCGTCCTGTATTACCGAGGCAGTCATGGCCTCCCTTAAACTCAACGTCTAATCCTACTTTACACATTCCATCACCAGCGTTCAAACGCCTGAATGATACTTCTTCAGCCACCTTGCGAAACATTTCCTTTCCAAAAGAACCTCGGGAGAGAAACGAAGACATGTTTGATATTAGGAATAATTTGTTTTTTACGCATAGTTTCTCAAGTGGTTACTGACTCTTTTTTTGACCTTTGCAAAGGATCCTGAACGTTCCTAATTTTTCTGTTCTATGAGATTTTTGCTTCTATTGATTTGTTAATTCTTGTTCAGAAACATGTCTGGAGGCATCCAGTTTCACGTGGTAGCTACCAAAATGCTTCAATTCTCCTTCCTTCCTTCTAAGAGATGATCAGGAAGGCAGAAATTGAAAATACCGAGATTCGTATGCGAGAAGACATTTTACAAAATCGGCTACGCTGGCTTCTTTCCTTTTTTTTTTTTTTTTCCTTTTTTTTTATTTCTAATAACCGAATTAAGAAAACAACGACGTGGCTCACCAATTTTATCTCGAAAACCGAAAGTATGAAATTCTAAGCGGGACGTAAGTTTAATTTCCTTTCCCCACATTCACTTCCCCTTTCCTTACTCTAAATATGTTTGAAGGCAAGTGCTTTGCTTTAGACTGAACTTTTTGCTACATGCACGAGCGTGATGGCCAAATGATTCCTTTAGGCGAGATCTCTCAAGTTCAGTTGGATAAGTTTAAACGCAAATTTTTATCACCAAACATGAACAGACCTATTCAGTATCATTACCTGGAACAGATGAGTTCAATTCCGCTGCAATTTTACGCAAGGCTTCCTTAGAGCACTGAACCAATTTGTAATAATAAACCGTTTCCTAGAGACGCAGAGAGAAGCCTGATTTTAGACATAGTTTATTCTTGTACCCTGATACGTGTTATAAGCGCAAATGGTAGACTTACTTTATAGACTCAGAATGATTAATGATATTTAAAGTTTGATAGAGTTAAGCATGCACGATTCTTGCCTCAGCATCTGGTCGAACTTTTCCTGGCCTCTTAACCGACTTTCTGACGACTTCTTTCTGAAAGCCAAGGTTCTCGAGGTTTTTCAACCAGGTGCACATCGCAGTACTGGGAGGTTTAAAGCTTGGGGGCTCGGAAAACTTCATTTGAAGCTTCTCATCAGCTATGACATCTGTAAAGAACACGAAAACAAGAAAACATTTACGATCCATTTGTTCTGCAGCTGGATCTCAAACCCTAGATTGATTATATTACCTACACTGGTACCAAAAGTTAAATATATAGCTTAGTTTTTTTTATGTATTATTTTTTTACTTTTAGGATGTTAAGAGATGGCGCTTTACAGTAAAAATATTGGTGTTTACGTTCAAGAAAGAATTCCAATCCATGGGTTTTGCATTTCCTATACTGAGAAATAAAACCCACACATACGAAAGGAAAAAAATCGTGCGCCAAAGCTTGTTAACTTACCGTAAATGGAAAACTGGGCGAGCAAAAAACTCATCACAACGAAGAACTTCAATCCACGAATAGTTGCCATCTCCAATCAGTACTCGGGATGTCTGGCGTATTTGTTTTTCCGTGCCTTGGCCAAAAAAAACCTGAGCAAACTGAACAACACTGACTTGTGATACAACATTTATACAGTTACGATTACGACTGAAATGCTATTTTTGAACTGAGATGAATATTTATTTTGATCAGAACGTGAAAAAGACGACTGTCAACAAGTCTTAGCAGAGCCTTGAGGCAAGAAAGACGACAACGTTTGCGACATAACAACCAATTAATGTCAATCAATGTCAATTCATAACAATGGACTCCTTGATGAATTAAAAAAATTGGATCACTCAAGGTTTAAAATTAACTCCAAGGAAGTAATTGACAGTGAACTATTCTTCCTCTCCAGAATGAGAGAAAGAAATGCACATCAAAAAACAAATTTCTTCGATTTACTGGGAAGTGTCATGTTTTTGTAATTATGTTCTCGTAAGAATCAAGTCGAATCAAGCATACTCGCATTTCCAAACAATTTACCTTCTACAGCGAATCTTCGTTTTGCCGACACTTTAAATTCAAATGTATTGAAATATACGAATATGAAATTTTCTGAGCGGTAAGAGAATGTTACGGTATTGTTCCTCAGTTGCCACTTAGAAGATAATTTACCATCGGACCCAATTGTATCGGTTGATTTTTCTGTAAAGGAAACACAGCGCCCCAGTTTCTCCTCTTAATAGATCTTTTTCCCTGATGCATGAAATATCTCAAACAAGAAACGTTTTGACGCTGATATTGAACCCAGAAAATGGTGCATTTTACATTCATTATGCTAAAATTATTCTTAAAATGACAAAATTATTTTTTCTCTGTCGTGCCCCCATTCAAAACGTTTGCCATAGCAGAGAGGCGTCATCTTTTGGTATTCCTTGGCCTCTTATTTGGTCCATAATTAATTCGGTTTCCCATCCGGTTCAAAAGAAACTTTCTTACAAACAATTTTTTTCTAGAGATTAACTTAGTAATCACTTATGAGCAGCAAAAACTGAGCACTGCCAAATAACATGTAAATAGCACTAAAGCTACTCAGAACTATAAAACCAAAAGATGGATAAAAATTTTGAAAAAAATTTGTGGAAATGAAATTTTATTCGAAAAGTGTTCCTAATTCCGCTGTAGCGTGGTGCCGTGATATGTTTACTACATGATCAGTGGGTTGTGACGAACATGAAAATCGCTTCGAATTCGCAAACCTAAAGTAAAATCCTGTTCTTCAAGCCCCAGAGAGAGGCGAATAAGAACATTTGATACATATGAAAAAAAAACTAGCCTTTTCTTTGCAAATTCTCTATAAGGCTAGAAATTATGAACTTACACTCATGAAACCAAAAAATCTCTCCGGCCACCTTGTTAGATACAACCCGTGCTTGAACGTCTTTGACTCATTCTAAAGCAGACATCAGTTATTTCGACCAGTAGCAAAAGATACATTAACAATAGAACGAATCAAATAAAAACTTGAATGTATATAACGGATATGAAATCTATATATAGGCTTTCACCAAATCGTCGACACATTTCCAAATCAGCAAATTTTCAAAAAGATTTTGTGATAGGGAATGTTAACATCAAAAGCGCCCCGACAGAAAAAAAAACCATGAAAAAATAAGGACTTCAGTTTCAATGGCAGATCAGATAACAATGTATTCGTTGGCGAAACAGAAGCCCTCTTTTCTCAATGATCGGGCGTTTTTATAAAAATCTTTATTATATTTGCTATACTCAACCTAGCATGTACAGACAGTCTTGTTTGAATAACTAACCACCTCATAGCTTCATTACATAAAATTTCTTGCGTTTAGTGAAAAGCTGCTCCGCATGGTCTCTTATTGTCTTTTCCTTAGCCACCTGTCTGTTCCAAGATTTACATCTTGTTTCATGAATTTTTATTATAAAGGAAAGTGTCATCAGAAGGATTTTGTTTATGGTGCAGTCACTAATACAAAGCACCTTCTGAACAGTGCCAACTTTCTGAGTTAAGAGGTGCAGAGATAATATTTAATTTTTTTTCTGAAATCAAGAATATGTAAAATTTAAATCGATAGATCAAAAAGTGACCCATATCAATGTGGCTTACTGCTTTGTTTTACCAGAAGATCAGTCGGGTATGACGAACACGAATCTTCTTTCCATATTCACCAAACGCAGATAAGCAAAATAAAAACCTTCAATCCTGAATGATAAGGCTAATAGGGACTTTAAAAGACAGAATTCGTTAAACAAAACCGGAATTATAGCAATTCAAAATTTCTGCAAAATCACCCAGTAGCTATTCAGCCTAAAAGGCAACCCAAACATGACAAAACTACCGGAAACTTCGATCACTATGGAATTCGAATAGTGATCCATAACTTGCTGTTGAATGTAACGAATCAAGAAATAATTCAAATGTGTTGACTTGTTGACAATACGCTAACAACTACGGTACAACAGCTACCTCACATTATAGCAAGCGTAAAGTTGGCCAACCTACAAACTTAAGCTTTTGTCGGTGGAGACCTGCTCAATATAAACTTAATCAGGGGAAACATTGAAAAGAACGAGCGATATGGGTTTGCTGTTGGATTTCGAATCCATTGGGAGAAGGGGACGATTAGTCTAAATGGAATGCTCGCGACAAATTCCGATTTCATCGATCGATTGGAACACAAAATATTATTCTAATATACAGACCAGACAAATTTCCGACAAGACTATGTAGCCTTCATAAAACCAATGAAGTCATAGCAAATCCTTGATTCGTCAATGACTTAATGTTAAGTAAAACAAGTGGACAAACTTTTCTAGTAACTCTTTATACGTTCAAAGAATAAGTATTAGAGGAAGAAATTTGACTTTCTTCACTCTCTCAGACTGAACTGATTTTCGTCTTTATGCAATAAATGCTAAATTTTCTTAATTTATCATTCTCCCTCAGGCAAAATTTTGCCACGGTAATCCACTTTGAAACCCGGACACGTGAGTTCAATTTTGCGGTAGAGACATTACAGATAGTTTTGTCTACTGCGGTGAAAACATATGTTATGAATGCATCAGCCACTCTCTCTTTGTTCTCTCTGACGTTCTAGTTTGCCTCGCCATTCTCAGAGGCCCATCGCTGTTTCCTCCAATTGGCAGGGAGACCAATCTAGATTACGCCCAAACGAGGAGTACAATAAAAAGATAGTCACTGGTAATTTCCTTTCGCTCAACTCAATTCCAATCATACGTGCAACACCCTTCCCCCCGCACCCAGCCACACCCACACCCACACCCCACACCATACAAACCCGTGCATTTATCATAAACAAAACAAGAGGTAGTAGGATTGTACGAGAAAGGGGCAATTCAAGTGGTCTATCCATTACAAGAAAGGTTTATCAGTCAATTATTTCTGGTCTCAGGGAAGGACGGGGAGCAGACCAACGATCAACCTCAAGAAGTAGTTGAATTAACAGATCTTGTAACAGCAGTCTAAATGGAGGGGCTGCCACTCCTCAAACATGCAATGAAAGAGAAGGTTTTGATGATTACAATAGATCTCAAAGTGCTTGCTTTTGTGTGCCAATGGGTCAACAGCATCAACCCTTTCTTGGGTTCCTTTTTATTTTTTAATTCCCTTTTGTCAACCTTCAGCCCCTACTTTATTCATAAAGCAACAGAACAGCAATCGCTAATGGGGGGGGGGATCCCCTGTGTAAAGAAGGCTCAGAGATTATGGGATTATTCTCTCGCGCCTTGGAGGAATTACGAGAAGTAATGAGTAAAGACGAACTGAAAACATTCCTTACCATTCACATCAGAGAAGGTGCATCGCAAGTGGTGCTGCTGTTTATGGATGAGCTCCCCACATTTAAACTACTATGGCACTGGTATCGTGAAGTGTAGAACGAGGACGAGAACAAGGACGAGGACGCAGAGATGTTAAGTATACTGTTATACAGTTCGACGTCAGGCATGTTCACTTGTTCCACTCCGCCCTAACGCTCCTCAATTCTGAAGAGTGAAATGGAAGAGCTATATGACTTTAAAATAGCTTTTATTTTATACATACATTTATTATATATAAAATCTCCCACTGAAAAAACAAACTCCTCAGCCTACACGACCACACTCTACTATTACAAGATGGTGAAGTGTTCAGGAGCGATGCAAATCGTCATGAAATTGGACAAGCTGTTTCTAGGTTGGCCGGTCAGGACACTATTCTCGGCATATGATTTGTATTATTTGAAACTTATTATCCAGTCAAGTATTGGTCGAACTAAGCGAAGCTTCTTCAAAGCGGCCTTCTCCAAAGCGGACAATCTTGGATGCCCAGTCAGTTTTTGTTGGAGGATTGTGGGTTGCTGCTAGAGTAGAGTGCAGAAAACACAACAACAGCACGTGATTCACAGAGGGCAAACTGGATTTCATAAAGAGCAGAAATATAAATCCAATCTTTATCGCCTTACTGTCTTTGCTCTTCAATTTCTTTTTTAACTCCAGCTTTCTTTTAGTTACGCAATTACCTTGCGAGTTATTCCGCTCCTGGTTCGGCTGCGTGAATCTCTCGCTCGGTCAAATCTAAATAATTGCATGGGCAGAGATTGAATTTTTAGCATCAATTTGGCGATCACTCTTCCTTACGTTTTTACTGTTTGGCCGTTAATTTATCTGACTTTTAAATAAACGCTCACTTTAAGCCTGTTGTTATTACGTATGCGGTTTACTTTTAGTTTTCCGGTTAACGCTTTTAAAAAATGGTAATTAAACTGAGTTGAGCGCAGTTTGTGTAAGTAATTACATGATTACGATTGCAATTTGGGATAAATTGGCAAGAGTGAATTTTAACAAGGCTGACCAAATTACACGAGAGAGTGCAATTTGTAGTCTTTTTTATTCATAATTTATCCTAAATTAGAGCAAGAAATGGCGCAATTCGTGAACTGCACTAATGATAGCCGATCAGATTGGAAGGATCACTAGTCATTTGATTTAGGCTCTCACATCTTAATTGAATAATTAACACATATTATGAGGTAGCTCATAATATGTGAAAGGTCTTTAAACGTACTGCAGTTTCATGACATCCAGATTACAGCGGTTTCTATTGCGTAATTTATGTCTTTTCCTAAAAAAAAAATAACTAAAATACTGGAGAATCTTGTGGTGTACTTCTTTTGAATATGCGAGGTAACAATGCGTACCATTTGTTAACAACTATGACAGCAATGCGGCAATATAAAACGAGGAAGTTTCTTGATCGGTGTATTGCACCGGACCATCACGTTTACTATTTATAGTACCGCAGGCACTATATAGTTATATCGATCCTGCTGATAAACAACAAACGTCTGAAAAGCATTTTATATTGATTGGAAGTTTCACCGAAAATATCATTTCCCCTTCCGAAATGAGTTTTAGTCCTAAAGGCAGAAAGAGAAGAAAAAAGTGAAAATATACGAAAGAAACTAAACTAGTGCCAGAGACAAGAAAAGCGAATTGGTCGAATCAAGTTCAGCAAGGTAAATGATGTCTTTTTTAATCGCCAAATGGATGTAGACAACTGAAAGGTTCAAATGTGAGGAGGTATATTATAATATCATCTTCATTTCGCTGAAAACTTTGAATTTAAGTTTTATCTACAGGAAGCAGAACGAAGAAGTGTGGATAATCACATCCAACTCCTTGTGTTTGAGGTTTATGAAATAACGATGATGACTGGTGATGACAATTTTTACTTCAACTAACCTACCAAGAAACGCTGAAAACGAGCGGATTCGAAAGTGTGTCGTTGTAGCACGTAACAATTTTACATCTAAAGAATGATGCCATGTATAATTGTACCTCTCTTGCCGCCTTGCGGCGTAAGCTTGTGTAAAAATCATGAAGAAATTGTCTGCGCCAAAATTTTATGAAGTCATGCAGCATTGTCAGCTTGTAAGTCATAGCGGATCAATTTCTGACTCGCATACGGCGGCAATCTGATATGTATCTCTTAGGTTACGAAGGTTACGCATGACTAAGTCTAAAATGCATTGCCGGGTTTAAAGCTAAAATTAATACGAAGCATAGTTCCAAGATGCATCCCAAAACGAGGACTTTTCACCCTTTAAATAAAAAAACAAAAACCAAGGGAATTACAGCGATCAATTGGACAACAATGAATAACACTTGGTCCAGCGAAATCTAAAAACAAGAACAAGTTTTCTAGTCGGTCTTTTGCGCCGGAAAACGGAACTGAGATCTTATTGGTCGAGAAAGTGACACAAACAAACGTCAGTTACGTGAAGTAGACCAAAGTCAGAATTAATTTCAACGCAAAATTAAAACGCCTCTTTCCTCTCGGGAAAATGAGTTTGCATTTTCGAACTATCCGATCCCATAAATAATGGGGGTAGGTTTCTAAAGAAACTGTGGTGCTGCATCGGTTGGAGTGTATAACAGAAAAGCACAGATTAATTATTCGATACGCACGTGGTATTAAGCTTTAATTTTATACTTAAGCTATATCTTACCCCTATCGGCTTCTGACTTTTCAGATGTATTTCAGCACTGAACTTCGTCAAATATTCATACTTTTTCAACAGTGGAGAGTTACTACAATAAAAGGTTAGTGAACTCATTTATACTTCAGTCTGAGAACAGAACAGATATTGGTAGGTTTAGAAATAAACCTTACGGAATTCCTTTCGTTTTAGTGTATTTAAGAATCGCTCCCAAAAAGTTCGCATACAAAGGTTAGTGACAATAAGGTTGTCATCCAATAAACACATTATCCAATGTCGTTATGTTTGTCACAGCAAAAGAAATAACCTCGCAGCAAAGGAAAAAGACTCACAGTTGTGGGCTACCGTACCTATGCATGTATGCTAACCACTATCAGTCAAGTGTACGTGGTATGCAATGACTAATGGAAGCTTTCCAAGCTCTTTTAGGCCAGAGAGAAAATAATTGCTACAACGAATGAGGATAGAGCAAATTTTGTTGTTAACACAAGAAAGTAGTTGTGTTCATAAAAGAGGGCATACCGAGGAAAAACTTTTCATGTTTTGCTTTGTACGTTTGCCAAGGGTAAACCTCCAAGAATAAATCTGGTTTAAGATCGAAAGTTTATGGGGAGGAACACGCAATTCTATAGGTAAGCGTGACTGGAAGACACGTGCTTCCAATTGGATTGAAGCAAGACGGATACCTCAAATTGGTCAGGACCATACATGTGTCCTTTAGTTTAGCCGGAACAGATACATTTTAGGTCGAACATATTGATTCGATTTCTAAAGCGATTTCTTCTCTATCTCAACTTTTCCTTTGTATCTCACCACATAACGTTGGACCATATCGGATAAATAATTTATATGTATAAATATAAAAACAAAAAACAAAAATTCCTGCAAAATTAAGTTTGTTAGACAAGATCATGAAAGCCTCTTCCCCCCCTTCTCTCTCCTTTCAAACTTTCTGCGGATTATTTTCTTGATTTATCATTGTTAATGCTTTAATTTCGATCAGTTTTGGTGAATTAACTCCGAAAAACACGCACAACTTGACTACAACTGTATCAAGACATTTACCTCAAAGTATTTAGCCTAACTGGCTTCAAGTTTGAGCCGGAGATGAACACTGATAACCTTAGTGAAATCGCGAGAAGGACTGAAACAGAATAAAATATCAACCTATCATATTTTATCCTGGATATTTAAGTTGGCACAACAGTAGTATGTAGATATATATAGATAAATGAATAAATAAATATATATATATATGTATATATATATATATATATATATATATATATATATACGTAATACGGTGATGAGGCCCAGAAGGCCGAAACAGTACTGTCTGCAGTTAGATATAGCTCTTTGGTATTACAAAGCTTTGGTTTCATGTTCAAATTAAGTACTCTATCTAGGAAGAGTCATGTCTCACTATTATGCATCCTCAATAGTTTATCTAGTCTGAGTCCTTTAGCATGGCTCGAATGATACCACAATTATGATATCATATTGTATGTATTGATCATATTGTATATATTGATCATATTGTATATATTGAATATACAATATTGATCATATTGTATATATCAGTTTTCAAAATGTATATATTTATTTATTTATAGGCGTTAGCGGCTCCATAGTAGCAGTTCTAGCGCTGGCTGTGCTGTACGAATGTGTCAAAGGATTAAACGTGTATCTACGATCACGCATTAAAAACCAGAGTGGAAGAGCGACTGTGATGAAAAATAGGATTTATTCTGAGGATATCAGGTGAGATTTTCTTTATTTCAATCTTCAAGGCGCTTTTTCAGTCATGCGATCACTCAGTGCCCTATGACAAGAATCAGAGGTCATTTGTAAAAGATATGAAGTGTTTTTGCGATGTTAATAAAACACCACAAATATTATTGAACATCCACAGAACAGACAAAATTAAAAAAGGGCCAAGATTGACGGAAAGTAAACTTTATCGAATTTTGATGTGCAAAAATCTTTTCATGATCCTTATATGATACCAAAGCTTAGCTTTTTCGAACATGTCCTTTGCCAGCCAATTTTTGAGTAAATACGTTTCTTTTTTTCCTTCTCATGAACCAAAAACATATAACTTTCAGGTCAGAAGCCTTCACTCGTATTTTAAAGACGTGTCTTTTTATGGCAGAGCTATCTTTCGCTTATTTCCTGATGTTGATCACTATGACATGCAACATATGGCTGTTCATCGCAGTTGTGATTGGTCGAGGGTCGGGTTTTTATCTTGTTTCACCGCTGATCAGCTCATACGTTGGCAGCGAGGAGACTGATGACTGCATTGGCATATCGATTAATTTACTGTCCACAAGACATCAGCAATTGTAACACTTGCTCAAATATAATAAACTGCAAAGAAGGAACCAAGTAGTCTACTCGTGCAATTGAATGGTGATGTATGACTTAAAATTAGGCCGAAACCCCTTTATCTGCCGCTTTTATCAAAGTTTTCAATATTTCTTCAGACATAATAAAACCTGTATCCTATCATTGCAGGCCGTCGTACCTGTGTGGGACGCTTTTGATAAAGTAAGACCCATAACGAAAAAAAATAGGCATCTTTTACGGCGTCTCCTACCTCAAATCATTCCGTAGTATCACATCATGAGTTTAGTTAATTGTCACTTTGTTTCAACCCAAAGTGTTTGATGACCTTGCCATTTTAAATGTCACCATGGCAACAGCAAACGTCCAAACTCTATAAGCTCGGTTTTCACCAACAACGAACTATTTCTTTGAGCTTTATCATGGGGTCATAACAGCACGGAAAAGTGCTAGATTTTCCGGTAAATTTATTATACATTAAAAATTGTAGCATTGTATTATACCTTGTCTTGTATTTGTAGGCTTTCAATTTCTTTGGGGTTCGTTAATGGGAGAATGCTTTGCATCTTGTGGGGGTGAAGTGCTCCTTTCGTCACACTTCTGCCCTCATGGGCCCATTTCCATCCAATCTCTACCCGCGAAAGTTTTTATTTTAGTGGATGCCTACTCCCCCCAGCCAGTGAGGAGGCCCAACTCCCTCTTCTCAACCAAGGAATGCTAACGGTGACCCTGCAAGAAGGCCAAGTCCTTTCTCGTCATCCATCGTGTGCATCCCCATAGGTTTTAAGGTACTCTAGGGGTCCATGAGTCTAAAATTTTTAACTGAACACTTTGTCACCCACTTCCCCATTTTCAGCCACATAAAGTTGTTGCTGTCTTTATTTTAAGCAAACTTGGTTAATTATCTTATAACCCTCCCATTAATTTTCGTATCGCACGTTGATACTTCTATCTAAGCTACTTCATAGGCCAAACGTGCGCATGCACACGCAGGTCTTTTAGTTCCCAGACCGTTCAGTTTTAAAAACAATGCGTGTAACAAAAAACAAAATTACTATCCGTGATAAGTGATTACAGGTTTTGTGGGTCAAGGACGGTTTCATTCCATTGATAAGTGAGGATTCATTCTTTTTTCGAAAAATTTAACCGATGATTTAAAATTTTTTGTGGGAAGGAAAAGATACGAAAAACATTTACCCCCC